CTTAAGACATGCTTGCATATTCTTTAACTTATTTGGTCATCCATGTTTCCCCTGGCTTGCAGAAAAGGTGGACTACCCTTTCCTTCTCTTTATTTTGTGTTGGATTGCTTCTAATTGCTCCCAAATCAAGTTGTTGATGGAAGTGTTGTACAATGTAAGCATATTGATTATTCTGTATGAGTGTCTCATCAGGCTCATCAGGTAAAACAATAGCTGCATTAGCAGTAGCTGCACTAGCCGGAGTTTCGTTATTGGTAGGCATCATTTATGTGGGAATTTATAGAAAGAAGGAACAAAAGGTTGCAGCAAACATCCCAGCATCTTCTGGTCAATACCATCCACCTAGTCCTGGTAATTGTAAATCTTCCTCTTTCTTTTTCTACTTCTTTGCTCTTCCCAAATTTCGAGTTCAAATCTCCTTCTGAATGAAGCCTCCAGTTGAAAATGTCTATCATGGATGTTAAATTAAGCATTTTTGCGATTACCAGCAAAAATTCTTTCAACCCTGTCCTTTAGGATAGCCAATATTCTAATTCATTATCAAATTTCAACTTCATGGAGGTATCTAATGCTAGATTTATTACTCCCAATGTGCTTGCAATATGTTTGATCCATGTGAAGAACCACTAGAACTTGCTTAGTTTATTACTCCAAACATATTCCAATAAATGTGGCCTAAGGCACTGACCTTGTTGATGGTGCTTCAGCAGGTCTTTCGGGCATACATGTGGACAAATCAGTAGAGTTTTCATATGAAGAACTTGCTAAGTCGACTGATAACTTTAGCATTTCGAATAAGATTGGAGAAGGTGGCTTTGGAACTGTTTATTATGCTGAGCTGAGAGGCAAGGTCTGCAGTTCATGTTTTTGTCTCCCCATGATGCAAAGTTTTGTTTATCTATTGTTAGAAATATATTGCAAAATCAGTAAGGAGAACACAATTCGATCATTCTTGCACTTGATCAAGTAAGATGTCTGAGTAGTCTCAACTAAAATAAACTGAAAAAGCTGTTAAAACAGTGTTATTAAGGGTAGCAATGTCTCTGCTAATTCTACATTTAAAACTACAGAAAGCAGCAATAAAGCGAATGAATCGGGAAGGAAGAACAGAATTTCTTGCTGAACTTAAAATTTTGACGCGTGTTCATCACCTGAACTTGGTATGATCAATATCTTCTGTCACTTGTTTTATTTTGCTTATAATTTTTTATTTTTTTTTGTTTTGTCAAGTATAATAAGTATTGAATGCCAGATATTGCAAGTTTAAGCAATATCTTTTAGAACTTCATTAGCATTCCCGTGCCTGGAATTCACATGTTTTGCTTATTTAGTTGATTGCTTTGAAGGAAATGTAAAGAGAGGGAAAAGAAATTGATTTTCTCACTCATAGCATGTCGTTTTACTAATTTTCACCTCTTTTATTTTAATCATTCTACTCCATATACATTGAGCTCGTAAAGCTGCAAGTTTAGTTTATAGTATGAGGGTATTGATAGATCCTGTAGGAGTTTATTTTCAATTTACAAAGGGAACCGTATTTGAAAATATGTCCATGAAGAGAGCGCATGCCTAAGAATGTGAAGGATGTTTGCACTTTAAATTACAAGTATCGAAATGCATGTATATCATTTTATTGATCTGGTGCGGAACTCAAATGTGATTGTATTATGCTTAATTTGTTTTCTCATTTGACTATTTCATCTGATGCTGAATTGCATGCAGGTGTCCTTGATAGGGTATTGTGTTGAGAGGTCCCTCTTCCTTGTATATGAATTCATTGAGAATGGTAATCTAAGCCAACATCTTCGTGGTACGAGAACTCTACTAGCTATAGCAATATGATGGAATAGTTCATTCTTTATGGTTTTCTTCTTATTTGTATTTGTGATGTTTATATGCTTACAGATTTATTAATTGTTTGGTAAATCTATTTACAGGGAAAGACGTATTGACATGGTCAACAAGGGTGCAAATTGCAATGGATTCAGCCAGAGGTCTTGAGTATATACACGAGCACACCATCCCCTTTTACATCCATCGTGATGTTAAATCAGCAAATATTCTGATAAACGAGAACTTTCATGCAAAGGTATCTTTAACGTCCTCTATTAATTCTGTGTGTTTCAACAACTTCTGTAGTCTTCTAACTGGTTAATCACTCACAGATTGGAGATTTTGGCTTATCAAAACTTGTTGAAAGTGGAAATCCAACTTTGAATACACGTTTTATGGGTACATTTGGATACATGCCACCAGAGTAAGTTTTTTTTTCACTGTATAAGCGCGTCTAAAAGTAGGTGTAGCTTCAGCTGTCCAAACCTTTTTACTTGAATAGAGAATCTGGCAATTAGTACAAAATAGTAACAAATTTTAAAATGTGCAGGTATGGTCATTCAGGAGTTATCTCTCGTAAAGTAGATGTCTACGCTTTTGGTGTTGTCCTTTATGAATTGATTTCGTCCAAGGACGCAGTAGTCAAGGAAGATGGTGTTGATGAAGCAAGAAGCCTTGTTGCTTTGGTAACTTTTTCTTCAAATTTCTTCATTGAATGTTATTCATTGGCATTGAGATGACCTTGACATAAACTTTACTCCTCTGCATTTAAAATCTGACACTTTTAGTTTGAACCAGACGATGAGCTAATCGTGATTGTTCTGTGATAATTGTAGTTTGATGAAGCTTATAGTCATCCAAATCAAATTGAAGCCATTTCCAGATTGATAGACCCTAAACTCCGCAATGACTACCCCCCCGATTCAGTCTACAAGGTACAATTATATCTCTTTAATTACTGCACTAGCTATATACCCCCTTTTCTGTCTCTGCTTCCACTTGAAGCAACACATGGTTTGTCTATTGCAGATGGCACAGCTTGCTAAAGCTTGTACGGAGAAGAATCCTGAAATGAGACCGACTATGCAATCAGTAGTGGTTGCTCTTATGGCGCTCTCATGATTGACAGATTGATATGTTGCTTTCACTCTATGGAAATTAAGATCAAAAGGCAGAAACAAGATCATGTTACATAATGTAACGTATTTAAAGGTGTTAGGCTCAACAGATCTATAGGGATCACTTCACTACAGTCAGAGAAGAGCCCAAAATGTCACCAACTACCTAAGAAAGTACTTGTTAATAAGATACTATGTAGTTTTCATATTTTGCCAACCACATTACAATCCCAAGCAGCAGCATTTTTGTCTCCTCTTGCATGCTGATTGTATCGCAGAGGCTCGAATCTTCAATATAAAATACGTATTATTGTATTGGAACTTCATGATTTCAATGTATTTCTGTTTGTATACTAAGAATGAGGTACTCTTGAATCTTGATTTTGGTACATGACCCAATGTAATATGCAGTGTTTGCATGAGTTAGATTTGGATTTAATTACTGTCTTTCTCCTTTTGATAAATTTGGATTTTCAAACTATATACTCCCTCCGTCCCATTTATGTGAGGTAGTTTGACTCGGCACGGAGTTTAAGAAAGAAATGAAGACTTTTAAAACTTGTGGTCCAAAATGAATGATAGAAATTTGTATGGCTGTAAATCATTTCATTAAGGGTAAAACAAATATTTTATAGTTAAATTGTTACTTAATATAAAAATGTGTTATTCTTTTTGGTACTGACTAAAAAAGAAAGTAAATCACATAAATTGAGACAGAGGGAGTAGTAAGTCCTAAGGACGATACTTCTTCTTTTTGTCGAAATTTCAAATTGTTGACTATGAGCAGCATCTCATTAGTTAGGGGTCAGTCAACAGACAACAATTGACTTGGACCATTAATGTTCATTAGTTGGTGGGAGCCCGGAGGTAAAAGTGACCAAATGGATCCACTATCTAAGCTAGCGTTTGACCTCAAGTTTTCAAATATTTTTGATAAATCTTAATTGTATAAAGTTTTTGGTGAAGTTTTACCATATGTTTGGCCCCAAGTTTTTCCAAAAATATTTGATTATTTTAAAAAATATAATTTATACCCATAAGTTCTAAAAATTATTTAAAATGTCCATAAATTTATATTATCATTTTATAATGAATATGCTCCATTAAAAAATAACATTATAACATACCGCCTCTGTTCCTAATTACTTGTCTACTTTTGAATTGACACACCTATTAAGAAAATAATTATTGACATAGTCAGTTTACCATTTTACCCTTATTAATTATGAAATGGATGAAATAAAAATTTAAGATTTTCAAGAAGTTGTACCTTTTTCAAAATAATAAATTTAGAGTATAATAGGCGAAATAAAAAATTGTCCTTTCTTGATTTGTCAAAATGGACAAGTAATTAAGGACATGGGGAGTAATTAATAACAATTAACAACAACAAAATAACAATATAGGCAATATAATACATTAATTGTATACTCAAATTTGTCATTGATTCAATTATAATTATAGTCCATTAAACATAAACAAAATAACAATATAGGCAATATAATACATTAATTGTATACTCAAATTTGTCATTGATTCAATTATAATTATAGTCCATTAAACATAAATTGTTCTTTTTTCTCAATTTTATCACTCAAACTTTTGTAGAGGAGATAGTAACAAATATTGGTTGGAATTAATAAATGATGAGTTTTTTTATAAAATATAAAAGTTTGGGATGATTTTTGAATTTTTCAAAATTCCCAATTATTAGAACTTGCCCAAATACTAGTTTTTTCTAGTATTTGGAAACTTGAGATACCAAGTTACATGACCAAACACCATTTCCCAAGTTTTTTTGGGCCAAACGGATCCTAAGTATATATAAAAAAAAAGAATGGAGCCTCACACTTCAAAATTTTCACTGACAAGTAGTCAACTTGTTACTTTTCGTTGTCCACTTTCCATAGAAAATTTGTGTTTGCCTAATAATTCCAATATACTGTTATACCTTTTCTGTGTTTCCTCTTGATGTTTGGTTTTGGAAGATCAAAATTAAAAACAAGAGGAATGTATATCTTTCCAAGGATAAGGACAATCGTATTTGTGATGTACTATTACTACTACTACTTATTTTCAGTTGATTATGCTGATTCCAGGTGCACAGAGGGCTGTGCCTTAGCTTTAGCTTCATATAGGATCTCGTTATCTGGTGATCCTGATCTTGACATTAGTTACATAGCCCACATCTTCTCGAACATCTCTATCCCTGAAATCCGTAGCTATAACCCAAGTATCTTAAACCCCAATAGAAATCTTGAATACCGGGTTAACGTACCCTTCTCCTGTGACTGCCTTAATAATGGGGACTACTTGGGCCACGTCTTTACATACCCTGTTTGCTCTGAGTGCACTTATGATTCTGTAGCATTACAATATTCCAATTTGGTAACTGGGGAGTGGCTGATGAGGGTTAACAATTACCCGGAAATGACAGCATTGAACGTCATAGTGAATTGTTCCTGCGGGAACGAACATGTCTCCAAGGATTATAGTTTGTTCCTCACGTATCCAATTTTTCCAGGGGAAAATTTGACGTCAATAGCTTTGGCGACAAAAACAAGTTCAAAATTGATCCAAATGTACAATCCAGGCGTCAATTTCAGTGCTGGCACTGGCCTGCTCTACATTCCAACCAGAGGTCATATTTGTTTTGTTCCACCACATTTTAATACATGTAGTAGTTCCATTTTTAGTTTGAATTAAGGGTTCTGGAAGACTGAGTTGATTCTCTCAAGCTCAACCATATTTGGTATGAAGGAAAATGTTTCCCTGAAAAGTAAGCAGAAATATATGGAAAACTTAGGGTGTGTCGGAAAATGTTTCACCTAAAAAGTAAGCAGAAATATATGGATAACTTAGGGTGTGTTTAATTCTTTTTACTTCCCATTTTTGAACCTTTCATGAGAGATTGATTCATTTTCTCATCTCCCGAACATTTTGTTGTGGATTTTGAACCTAAATTTTAATTTGGGGTTTCGTAAAAATATTGACATCCTTTTTTTCAATTGGTGGATAATTTTTCTGACCATGGTTCCTTGTTTTATGCAGATAAATTTGGGAACTATCCACCTATGCCAACCAGGTATCTTTTTCACACTTGAGTTGGCTATAAATTGAACATCTTATCTTGGTGTATATTATTAACATATTTGGTCATCCATGTTTCCCTCGACTTTGCAGCAAAGGTGACTGCTCTCATGTTTAACGCAACTCTAGTTAGTCATGGATTATTCATGATATCCTAGATTATTGATTATTCTGTGCGAGTGTATGATCAGGCTCATCAGGGAAATTTATTGCTGGAGTGGAAGTAGCATCACTAGTTGCAGTAGCTGGAGTTGCATTACTCATATGCATCATTTACCTGGGATTTTATAGAAAGAAGGTACAAAAGATTGTGCCACAAATCTCAGCAACTGCTGATCAATCGCATCTATCTAGTCAGGGTAATTCTCTAGATTAACAAAAACACTTTTTGCAACATAAGTTCTTCCAAAGTTTTTTCCATTTTTTGAATTGATAGCTGGTGTTGTCTTGTTTCCTCTATTGTCTGTCTACTGTTGTTTCACAGGGATCAATAAATCAAATAGTAAATTTTAAGTGTTAAAATCAGTGTCTTACCTTTGGTAGATCGAAATTTTGTTAAACACTTCATGGCTTTGTACTTATTCCATATCTTGGGTTGTTATTATATAAACTGAGCAAGGCCTGAGGGAACTAAGGCAGTGACCTTTCTGATGGTGCCTTGGCAGGCTTCTTGGGCATAGCTGTGGACAAATCTACGGAGTTCTCATACAAAGAACTTGCTGAATCGACTAATGGCTTTAGCATTTCTAATAAGATTGGAGAAGGTGGCTTTGGAACTGTTTATTATGCTGAGCTGAGAGGAAAGGTCTGCAGTTCAAAAAAAATTTCATCAAATAACTGTAAAAATATGTCTGCCTGTCTCTTTTGAAGGTTGAAATCTTTCTATTCCCTACATATTTTTTCCTAAGCTATTTGTCATAAACAAAAAAAAGGTGAAGTCATGGAACACCTGTCAATATTGTTCATTCCAATAAGATGGAGTTTACTGAGGCCTAGAATGGACCCTAGCTTTCCTTTATAGGTAGCAAGTCAGCTGCTACTTTACTTTGTCCCTTGTTCCATGTGTTTCAGAAGACTTCTATTATGAATTCAATAAGTAAAAGACAAAATATGAGTCCTGGATTATAGAATTTCACTTTGGAGGAATAATATGAGAAGTGTGATAAACCTAGAGAATCACAATTTATAAAAGCTACGATTATTACGAAGAATTATTAGTTATAGCTTATACAGTAAAATTTAAGGTTGTTATACTGCAACTGGATATGTTGGGAGATTTCTTATTGCATAAACTGATAATAACTTACTTACAAATGGACCTGTGCTACTATGACTTGAAAGGGGGAAACTCACCGTTCAATGGGACATTTCTACATTTTTTCTTTTTATACTGTGAATTTCTGCTAACATATACTGAAAACTATGATACAGGCAACAGCAATAAAGCAAATGAATAGGCAGGCAAAAACTGAATTTCTTGCTGAACTGAAAATTTTGACGCGTGTTCATCACTTGAACCTGGTAATTATCAATATCTTCTCTGTCAGTTGAGATTGCCTTTAGAAGCAGTTCTATTTCTTTTGATGAGCACAAGTATAATGCTAATCGGGGTAAATGATGCAACATCTTGACATCATGGCATTCATGTTTGATATTTGAAAGAAAAACTTGTTTTTCATCTACTTCATTAACCGCCACAAATAAATAACAAAATAGAGAATCTTTTCTTATTCAGTTGATCAATTTTAATCAATCTAGCCCCAAGTATAAACGAACTTTAAAACTGATGGTATGTCATATGACAGTAAAAAATACAACCTTGTAAGAGATGATTCATGATTTATTGGCCACATTTTTACTGGAAGTTCTAAGTCTGGAATTGTATGTATATCATATACTGATCTGGTGGGGGAACTGGGAAGTTTAATGATGTATTATGCTTATTAGTTTGCTTGTTTGATTTTTTGCTGTCACTGAATGCATGCAGGTGTGCTTGATAGGATATTGTGTTGACAGGTATCTCTTCCTTGTATATGAGTTCATTGACAATGGTAATCTAAGCCAACATCTACGTGGTATGGAACTTAATGAGCTATAGCGATGTGCTGGAATAGTTAATTCCTTGTTTTTTTCTTCTTTTTTGCATTGGAGATGTTTATAAGCTTAAGCATTTGTTTGTTACTTGATAAATCTATCTCCAGGGAGGGACACACTGCCATGGTCAACGAGGGTGCAAATCGCACTAGATTCTGCCAGGGGTCTAGAATATATACATGAACACACCGTTCCTGTTTATATCCATCGTGATATTAAATCAGCAAATATCCTGATAGACAAAAACTTCCATGCAAAGGTCTTATTAAGGCCCCTAATCTTTGTTTTTTGACCAATATATTTAAGTGCTCGCCTGATTGGTAAATCACTAACTTACAGGTTGGAGATTTTGGCTTGACGAAACTGGTTGAAAATGGAAATTCAGCTATACCTACACGTTTTATGGGTACATTTGGGTACATGCCACCAGAGTAAGTTTTTTCAGTGTACAAAATGTGTCTAAACATAGGAAATAGCTGCTGCTGAATAAGCTTATTTAATAAAGAACCTGGCAATAGGTGGTCTCTATGGTAACAGAGTTGACATTTAAGATTAATGGTATCAAAACTATTTTGTCTTTCTGATGTACCGGTACAGGACAGACTGGTTCTACTGGAATTCGAACACAAGACCCCATACAAATCTTCCACTTCCTTGGCAGTTGCACTAGAGACATTTTTATGTCAACGGAATTCAATAACATATATTTACACATTCAATTTTTCAAAAATATAATGTACATATATAAGCTGGAAACGTTTTGCTCTTGCATTTCCTTCAAACCATATTCTGAAAAAGCTGAGGTTCTATCGGGAAATAGGACCTCACAAAGGTAGGGGTAAGGTCAGCGTATACCCCGCCCTTCCAGACCCCACTTGTGGGACTATACTGAGTATGTATGTTGTTGTTGTTGTATATAAGCTGGAAACTTTTTAGTTGAACTCCCTCAGACGAAGTTGGTTATATTATTCCACATGCATCTGATGTATCACAGATGGATAGTTCCAATAACTATTGCTGAAATATGCAGGTATGGTCATTCAGGAATTATCTCATCTAAAATAGATGTCTATGCTTTTGGCGTTGTCCTTTATGAACTAATTTCGTCAAAGGAAGCGGTAGTCAAGGAAGATGGTATAGATGAAGCAAGAAGCCTTGTTGCATTGGTAACTTTGCTTCAGCATATTTCTTAAAAGAATGTTATCATTTGCCACTGACATGACCTTCTCATGGATCTCACCCTTCTTGCTAGTGTTACTTTGTCTATTGCACCAAAATTTACGAGCTAATTATGGTGATTGTTCTGTGATAATCATAGTTTGGAGAAGCTCATAATCATCCAAATCCAATTGAAGGCATTTCCAGATTGATAGACCCCAAACTCGAGGATAACTACCCTTTTGATTCAGTCCAAAAGGTACAAATTACATTTCTTTCCTACACTGTGTACCACTTTTTGTTTCTTTGCTTCCTTGAAGCATTAAACACTTGTCTTGTCTATTACAGATGATACAGCTTGCTAATGCTTGTACAGAGAAAGATCATGAGATGCGGCCGACTATGAGATCTGTAGTGGTTGCACTTATGGCACTCTCATCATCAATAGAGGATTGATAATCTGACGTTCAGGGTTGGTCCTGCAGTGTTTCATTGATATGAGTTTCTTGAAATCAAGAGCTTAGTTTCAACTTCTGTAAAATTACTTTTCCTATTAAGATCACTTTCCAGTGTTTATTAAGAAAAATAAAAAATCACAGACTAGTTTCAGAAAGTTGACGACACTACTGGTATTTTTTTGAGTTTTGAACTGCTACTCTCATGGTGAAAACATGAAGACAAACATCTTCAAAATAAAACAAGTGAAAGCTTAAGGTATTGAAATTTCTCTTCCAAGTACTAATGTTGTTTGTTTGTTGAAAGAAGATGTATTCTTGATTTCTATTCCATGTAATGATAGTTCCTGTGGAGGCCTCTGGAGTCTAGTCCATTAGTCCTCCTCTTTGAAAGGGAAGAGCAAGAAGATAACCCAGTGCTCAGTAGTACTTTTGGCATAGCAATTTACTGTTATGTTTCTTCCTCACTTTGCAATTTAGCCAAATCAAACAATAAAAATATATCATAGATTACATGGACAATTTAGCAGTGAGACACAGTATTCATGTTAATGCAACAGCATCACCCAAAAGGGAGAAGTAGCAGTAGACTTTATCATACAATTACCCAGTAGCATTGCGCAACTACCAAATGCTATAATGCCAATACACTATAGATTGAAAAATGAGAATTGTCAACATAGTTTTGGGTCAATAATAAGCAACTTCACAACTCTTCGACATCAAGTAATTTTACTTGATTCCCTATCATCCAGCATCATGTTTATACATCCGCCAACTTTGCCAAAATAACCCTGACACAAATAAACATCAAACGACAAAGTCTAGTGTTCCAATCAAACACGGCAAATGAAACAGAAAAACAACTGTACAATAAATGATGATTTTCTTTTCATTTTCATTTTTTTATTTTCTTTTTCTTTTTTTTCAAAAAAAAAAAAAAGAACAATAGTTTTACACAGCATAGACTGTCATGTCCACACCAATCATTTGCACCAAGAATTTTACTATACACCATATACAGAGAATCGGACAGGAGAAACCAGGCATCTTCACTCCGGCAAAAAGGAAATAACTACAGTCATATTTCACATATCAGTCAGTAGGTTTCTTCTGAAATGTTCAGCTCTATTCAATGGCATATACGATATGTTCCACTGAATTGGCCAATATCCTACTACCAGCAATACTAGATGTTATTGAAATAAGATTAGGCTGGTATGACGCGGGAATCAGAGTCAGGCATCAACCTGCAACAACCGAAGGCAACTGCATTACATACAGAATAAGAAATAATGACCCTTGCAACTAAAAGTTCAGACGATATTCAATACTGTCAAAGAAACTAGAGAAGGGCCCTTGGTAGGGAACTACCTAAGGTCAATCTGTTCTACTGAAAAAAGGTCATCTTTTTACCAAGTTCTATCTGTTCTATTCTAATAGACTAAATCTACTATACAATTTTTTTGGCCTAAACTGTAAAAGGCATTGCATGAAACAAATCCACGGTTTCATGAAAGCCTATGTTACATAATAAAAGGAAAAGGATGGAGGGACGAAGAAATAAGTAACTCTACAAGACAAAACCCACTTAATCACTCACCTTCTTCGAAGAAGTCAAACACACCTCCCAGCATATCATCACTTTCCCCATCATCATCAGGTTTCTCTTTGTTGCAAGGACTACTACTGCTATCCATATCAGCAACCAGTTCAGTTACCTCATGCAATTCATTGTTAGTTGAAGCCTTACAGTAGCCTTCTTGAAAAAATTGACCAAAATCTACAGGGTCGCATATATCTTCATTAACAGTTTGTTCGTCAATTATGTTCATACTCAAGTCGGAACGATTGGAACTTGAGTTTGAAGCTTCACTGGTAATGACACTGTTTGAAGACTGAACCTCTCTTGCACTGGTTCCTCCAGTGGAGAAGGATTCAATTTTGGGAGGAGATGGACTATTTACCACATAACTTTCCTCAACGGAGCACAAGATATTTGGGGATGATTCCAGACCAGCAGGCATGTTCTTACTCACTTGTGGGGCTGCAGTATAACTAGAACTTCTCGACCCATCACTTTCTTCCATAGAAAGTTCAATACATGGATACGAAATTGGCCCCATACCAACTTCATGTAAACGGGGAACTTGTGAAGAACCTGGAAGCATATATGTTAGACAAAGTAAAAAAAAAACATCAGCCATAAAACAACTATTAATGCTTAAAAGAAAAGTCGAACAGTCTAACCAGAAGGAAAGCTTTTCTCAGAGAGAGAGTCTGCCCTGGAAATACCAGTTGTGCCGTCCCCTGACTTCTCTTTACCAATGGAAGAGCTGAAGAATGGAAGGAAAAAAACAAATATTATTTAACTGCACAACACTAGTATTGACTGCATGAAGATGTACCCACTATTAAGAGCAATACTTGATAGAATAATGATCTTTAGGTCCTTTGTAGAAAACAATAGAAGTAACTATAATAATCTATATGTCAAGAGATCCTAAGAAAATCCTGTATCATTTGCGTATCAGAATCTAAATGTGTCCAAAACGTTATTTAACATAAAAAAAGCATGTGATGATCAGACTGTACAGAAGGTACAGATTCCAACAACCATGACAAACGAGTGAAACAGAGTTGTCAAATGTGGGAACGCACAAAAAGGCACAAATAAAGATCAGATGAAGAAAAATATCTGTGACAGAGAAAGAGAGGAGCTACAAGAAAGTAACTGTAAGAACATTACAATTATATGAACATATGAATTGAAAACCTGAAGATTAAGCAAAATACAGGAAGTAGAACCATGTCAATCAAGTTCCTAAATCATTATAAGTGTGATTCAAGTTCCGTGACAAATCATAATATATATATCAAACTTTTTATTCTCAATGAAATGAATGAATAACATATTCGTCTACAATGATTTCATCAACAATTAATATGTCTACTATGTTTATCATTGAGTGAGTCCATTGATGTTGGGACGCATGCCTTGGTACAATTGTGCCTGCCCTGACATATTGTTTTAGGCAAAAAGGAAACCTATCATTTGCATCTAGTTTTAGGGTTTACACAAGCCGCAAACTATTGTTCGGCACCACTGAAGAAGATTCCCACATTACTGTTCAATGTAAAATCAGAGTTCTCTTCCAAACTTTCAGAATAAAATATTCCGCATACTGCAATTGAATGAAAAAGGCTAAATTGAGAATCATGACTAAGAAAAAGCAGAATGCGTGCTCTAACAATATGAACCAGTTGGCCCCATTGAGAAAGGACACACGGGGCCATTCGTGGACATGAACAGCCATTCAGAAATTTCCCATCAATCTATGTCGATAGCACTGTCTTTTTAACTTCAATTTTGTTTAAAGGTCTGGACACAATTTTTTAGATGAGAGTTGAAAAAAGTGGTTTAAATTCTTTCGAGAACATAGAAAGAGTGGTTGTAACTTCAATTTTCTCCAAATATGGGGCAGTATTACACAAGCGTGAGAAAGTATTAAACTGCCCCATAAAGCTTCCATAATTTAACTAATCAAAAAAGAAACCAAGGGCAACCAGAATCCCCAAGTTTGGTGTGAATTGAGGCCTAAAAATAGAAGAAAGCTGTATAATGCAAGAGACATGGCGACTTATCTCTATATCTCTATACAATCATCAACTTCTGTAGAGTCACTTAAATCACTTCAATATCTATACAACTCTCAGTGATGAATCAGAGGATGAACAGAATTTAAACCCACTGCATGCCTGCAGATAGACACTAGAATTCTTCAAAAGCACATATGCTACGAAAAAGTCACCCGCTTATTCCCCCTATTATAAACTTCTTGAATCCAATTCATGGTGTGACTAGAATTTGACTCATGGATCAGCCAGCAATCAGGTTATAAACAAAGCCAATTAGAAATAGTTATTTCATGGACACATTATGGCTGAACCTTAAGGGATAAAGAAAAGAACATTCTTCTACACATTTGCAGACTAGTTGCAAGATGGTGGAAATAAATTCCAACTTGAATGCACTGAATGGAAAGAGAAATGCAAGGGGGAAATTACAGTTGCAAAGAACTTATAGAATCCCATAAAAACTGAAAACAGTATTACAAAATCCTAAAGCAGTAGGCCTCAACTCTGGATCAAGCAGATAATGCGAGGTAAAACCCAATTTTCGTGCACCTATCTCATTAGGTCAGGATCAGAAAAAACCTTAGCGAATATAAAAGTGCAAGTGCTACAAAATGAAGGACCCAGAATAGCTATTTCATTACCTATCATCTGACCACTTTGATGGAATCCTGTGGAAATGGTCAAACACAGGCAGCAGGTCTTTACGCCTTACTTCGACCTCATTGACAGGAATCTTCTCAATCTCAATCTCCCCAGCACCAGAACTTCTAGAAATATCCTGCTCTTCATATCCAGAAAGACTCATGGTACAGAAGTATATCTAGAACAGATACAAATGACATCAGTACATATTCAGAAGTATAGAGGAACAGACACAATTTCTGCAAGAGATGATAACAACCTTGGACTTTTGCCAAATAGGTATCCTCCCAGACTTCAACTGCACCTCAGCATTGGAAAGGTACCAATGAGACCGATCACATAGTTTAGCCAAATCCTTTTCTCCTTTATCATCATCTTCAGAAAGAGAATCTCCCATGACTATGTCTGTAGCTTCACGGCCACCTGGAGTAATGCCATGAATACATTCCTCTCTTTCAGGCCAATCAGCTCTTCGACATACATCCCACCATTGAATGGGGTCAACTTTCACCCCAGTGTCATCCTCTTGCATTTGAACTACTGAAACAGTCTCTGTTCTCAGATAAGAGTCACCCTTCTCTCCACCAAATGAGGGCATCAATTCATATTGAATTAAGTGACCAGATGGAGTATAAGCCAAAAGATGCTCCAAAGCATTTAAACTTTTGGGAGCAGGTTGTTCCCGGCGTACGGAACTGTGAAAATCAGCAGCAAGAACAC